TTGGTCGGTCTTAAGAACGCTGGTTTTAAGAATGAGTGATTGCCCTTCTCCAACCCTTACTACCCAATGTGGACAGCTAATGTGTTCCACTTATTGAACGGGGTTCTATGGTCGGTCCGTGACCCCTGGATGCCGAAGGCGTCCTTGGGGTGATCTCGTAGTTCCTACGGGGTGGAGATGATGGGGTCGGTCTATGGATTTTCCTTTCATCACAAACCTCCCTTATTTCTTTTCTATTGCAATTTCTGGATTATTATATGATGATTTTTTAACTTTCCATATATAGAAAAGAAACATAGACTAGAAACGACATCTGTTATGTCAATGACACCAAAGGGATATTAAATGAATGGAATTGGGGTATGGATGGAATATAATGAAATAGAGCCACTTTGAGTTTCCCTCTGAAATGAGACATGGAAGGGAGCCACTACGAAGAAATTCTGGGGGTTACGAAGGAAGCTTCTAGCTCATATTGGTCATGGGTTGAGAACAGGAATTGAATTCTATGAGATCTAATCTCCTATTATTTCTCAGTAGCTCAGTGGTAGAGCGGTCAGCTGTTAACCGATTGGTCATAGGTTCGAATCCTACTTGGGTAAGTTTTGAAAATTTTAATTCATAATATGTAAATATATGTATAAGACAAAGTTGACCCCCCCTAATTTTTTACGATTTTAGTTTATATTATGAGAGTTTATATATATATATATATATATATATATATATATATATCTGTGTGTGTGTATATGAATTAGCCACCTTTGATTTAATTTTTTTTTCAAAAAAAGTTATTTATTTTTTATTGTACTAATTATTTAACATTCAAAAAATTAAACATATAGTTTGATGATCCATAGTAAATTGACTCAATTTGATGTATTATAAAAAAAAGACTCAATTCATAATTATCAATGGACTAAAACAAAAATAATTACTTTATTGGTCTATATACAAATATACAATTTAGCCTAATTGATAAAAATTTTAAAATTAGTGATCTATCTTCTTGTTGACCCATATACAAATATACAAATAATTACTTGAAGGCTTAGTGAAGACAAGAAATTGAGTGATATATCCTATTGTTAACGGATTGATTATATTTGTTCTCACTCTTCCTATATCAATTGCAACTATAGAACGTGCATTTTCAATTATGAATATAATCAAAACAAAACTTCAAAACAAGATAAAAGATAATTTCTTGAATGATTGTCTAACAATGTACATAAAAAAAGGAAGTTGTTCAAAAATTTAGCACTGATTTAATTATAGATGAATTTAGTTTTATGAAAGAATGTAAAACTCAATTCACTTTTAAGAAAAGAGGTTGAAATTTCAAGGTATGCTAACATAACTTTTATCTTTTATTAATTGAAAATAGTTATATTATATTGTATAGTTATATTTTTGTTTTTGCACAAATGACATATTGGAGCATCTTCTCATAATGTAAAATTTGGGTAGTTTGTGATGTTATAAGATATTTAATCAAAAGGTTATTTTTTTCCTAATTTTTGTTATGACTATGCTGCATATTTATGAAATAGACATACCTTTATAATGAAAGTTAATATTTGATATTTTAACATGTCATATATTTAAATAGATGAAAATTATTTTGAACATAACATATTAAGATAATTTTGTTCAGAAAAATTTGGCCTCCCTCCCAAGGAAAAAATCTTGGCTCCATTCTATAGTCTATAGAATGGACATTTTCAATTATGAAGATAATCAAAACAAAGCTCCAAAACAAGATAACAGATCATTTCTTGAATGATTGCCTAAAAATGTACATAAAAAATGAAGTTGTTCGAAAATTTAACATTGATTCAATTGTAGATGAATTTAGTTCTATGAAAGAACGTAAAGCTCAATTTACTTTTAATAAAAGAGGATGAAATTTCAAGTATGTTAACATAACTTTTATCTTTTTTTTTAATTGAAAATAGTTATATTTATATTGCATAGTTATATTTTTGTTTTTGCACAAGTGACATATTGGAGCATCTTCTCATAAGGTGGTTTGTGATGTTATAAGATATTTAATAAAATGTTATTTCTTGTCTTAATTTTAGTTATAACTATGCTCTATATTTATGAAATAGACGTATCTTTAAAATTAAAGTTAATATTTCATATTTTAACATGTCATATATTTAAATAAATAAAAATTATTTTGAACATAACATGTTAAAATAATTTTGTTCGAAAAAATTTTGGCCCCACCAAGAAAAAAGTCTTGGCTCCGTCACTTCTGGAGAGGTTTGCTGAAGGAGTATCACATGCAACCAAGGGCCGACTTGCGTTCTGGCCATTTGGCTGGGGACCTCGCATTTGCATTGGACAAAGTTTTGCCATGTTGGAAGCAAAACTGGCGATGTCTATGACTCTGCAACGCTTTTCCTTTGAACTTTCACCATCTTATGCTCATTCTTCCCGAGTAGCAGTAACACTTCAACCCCAGTATGGAGCTCACTTGATTCTGCAGAAAATATAGTGTTCATACCTATATGTGACTTGTTAGTCCTTAGGGCAACTTATGTATCAACGACATAAAGCACCTTGTATGCTTAATTTTGCTTGGAAATTAATTTCAGCCTCATGCAATATTAATGTATCTCTTTTCTTTGAACATAACAGTATAGAATCACGTCTAAATAACTTTTATAGACATGATGATATACTTTTAGTCCTTGTAGGAATATATCATTGACGAAATAATTCACCATCTATGCCTGATTGGAGGTCAACTTTAGTCTATATATCAAATGATTTCACTTGGTACTAAGAATTATCTTCCATTTCTAATGGTGAATATTAACGTTAGATTGGTATAACATTATATTTCTCGCATATGGAAGAGTGATATTACATCTAATCACATACTGTTTATAGAGACCTGTCATTTGCTTGGATAATCAAGAAAATCAATAGAGTCCTTATGAACTACTGCTGCAGTTAATATTAGTGTTCTGCAATTATACTTTGGGATAATTTCAGAAGCCTCCCTTGAGGTTTCTGACAATTTCACTGATCTCGCTTGAGGTTTGTAAAATTATACTAATCTCCCTTGAGATTTATAAAATTACACTAAATGATTCTAATCAAATCGAATACTCTAGTGTTCAAATTTATTTGATTATTTTAACAAGTTTTAAATTTTATTTAAACTTGGTTTGTTTATTTGTCGAATCGAATTTGAACGAGGTTTTTTTTTATTGAATTTGAATGTTATCGAACATAAAATGCTATTCAAGTTACGTTTAACTAGTTGGCTTGATTTAGCAAGTTGGTGAACCAAGCCGAACTGGGATCTAACCATAGAGCTGGACTTCCTCTTACTTGCTTTAACTTACTTTAAAATTGTATAGCGTAGAGAGCTAATAATGTAGTTGGAATTTCTGCATTAATCTTTTACAAGATTTCTGTTCCTATCAATAAAATCACCAGTTCTGCTCAAAAAAAAGAAAAAAAAAAGTGGAACAGAGTTGTTCAAGCTGCGAAGCTTTTGTCGTGATTGTTTTTTTTTGTTGATCCGTCTCTTCCTTTTATACTGATCTTTCCGATGACTCCTTTTCAGTTTTCAGGCTGAAGGTCAATCCATCCTTTTATGATAAAGATGGTGTTCTTATCTCTTAATTCTGAAAAGGTTTAGTTGAACACACTTAATATCTTCACAAGCTAATTACTAGCCATTTTGAATAATCGGCTTCCTCTATCTGAATTGGAGTATGGATTATCAGATATTATTAAGGCTTATTTGAAGCCATTAAATGATTTTAGTAGCCCAACACTTGTATTGTTGGCTTGGCTGACTCTCACATGTAGGACTTGAGCTGGGAGGGGAACCCTGTGGATTTGGGATTCTATAGGTGACCTTGATTTACGCACACATCCACACACACGCATGCTATTTTTCCAGTCTTAGGAGGAATTATTATCCCGTTTAGATTGCTATTTTTTGCAATTTTTATAAAACAATGTATGATAACGATTTGATATACATGAAATAAAAAAATTAAAAATATACTTCTAAAAAGCGTAAAAGTTTTTTCTTAGAAAACTACAATCTAAATAAGACCTTATTTAGAAAGGAATTTTTCAACAAAAAAAGGTTACGTTTTTCGTGAACATATTTTTCAATCACATTTTTACCTTACATATATCAAATCGTTACAGTACATTTTTCTACAAAAACTCGAGAAAATTGCAATCCTTGTCTTTCATTTTATGTTACTTCTATTTACCAATAAAGGGTTAGATTTGCAGGATTGGTCACATTATCACTATTGGGTCAGTCAGCCTTGTCGTGCTGAAGCAACTACTGATTTTTCGACTTAATTTTCTTCCTCTTTTTCTGGGACATACTTTGTCCACAATTAGGACTGTCAACGGTTTGAATCTAGATCCGGATTCGGACCGGATCCATCAAATTATTTCGGCTACGAGTAGGGATTTAATTCCATTATCCGGATTCGGTCCGGATTCATTTTGCCAAACAAAAAAAAAAACGGATCGGATATGAAATATAGTATTCCGACCCGTATTCGACCCGGATTCGGATATAAATGGATTAATAATTTAAAAAATATATATATTTATCAATATAATTTGATTAGGGTAATATATTTGAGTAAGGTCAATTTGATTTCTTTTCTTATTTGATTTTTTTTTGTATTAGTTAAAAAATAGTTTACAAATATAATTTTTTCTCATTTTTGTTAGAAATTGTAAGGTTTAATAGATTTTTTTCGGGTAGACCCGACTCGAATCCGAGACCTATCGAATTCGGATCTGAAATATAGAATAAAAGACACGTCGGATAAAGCGTATGCCAGGTCCGAATCAGGAATAATAATAAATTCTGACTTGAACCCAGCCCGTTGACAGGCTATGACCAACACCACGACAAAATGCAACAGCTGGCAATTGAATTCAACCAACAGTGACTAAAATAATCTTCTCCCAACACCCGTGATAGATCTGGAGACAAGGAGGTTGACAAATAAACCCAGAAAAGAAAGAAAACCAAAAACTCAAAATGGAAGAAGCCCACAGCTTCATGATTGCACTTGTTTCTTCTTGTTGTGTTGTTCTCTCAGTATTGGCATGGAGAGTGTTGAACTGGGCATGGTTTCAGCCCAAAAAGCTCCAGAAGCATCTCAAACAACAAGGTTTTAAGGGGAACCCTTACAAACTGATCTATGGAGACTTAAAACAGATATCATCCTTGTTCCAAGAAGCCAACTCAAAGCCTATCAGTCTCTCTGACGGCATTGTACCAAGAATTGCACCTCATTTCCTAGAAGCTGTTAATAAATATGGTAAGTTGTTATCCAATCTACTGCTAATTCATTTCGTTGATTTCCCATAAGTGATTTTAAGTAAGTAAAAAGTATAAATTTCTGGGCTCAGTTGCTTAACATAGCTAAGTTTATTTCTAAAGATTGACACTTTAGCTAGCTTGGATTTCACATTGGAGGTGTGTAGTTGTTGCAATACAATTATTACTGATCGCTAATTCGACTTTTAGGTTTTTTTTTTTTAAAGTCAGTGTATTATTGATTTGTAGGTAAGAATACCTATTTGTGGTCTGGGCCAAGACCAATGATACTGATCATGGATCCTGAACTCATAAGGAAAGTTACCCAAAAGATGGATATTTTTCAAAAGGTTAAATTCCATCCACAAGCCAGCTTGCTGGTCGCAGGGATACTGGGCTATGAGGGGGAGAAATGGGTAAAGCAAAGGAAACTCCTCAATCAAGCTTTCCACATGGAGAAGTTGAAGGTTTCTCTTCTAATTTTCTCACATTTGTTTACTGAAAATACAAAATAATTGTAAAGGAAAAAAAACCTATGCCTACGTAGCCTTGTTTGGAATGCGATTTTTCTCCAAAAATTTTTTATGTTTTTGGTGAATGCATTTCCTGATCACCTTTTGCCTCATATGCATCAAATCGTTACAATACATTTTTTTACAAAAACTCTAGAAAAATAGGAATCCAAATGGGTTATTATTGGATGCAGCTTATGGTACCAGCATTCTACAAAAGTGCAAGTGAGATGTTGAGCAAATGGGAGGAGATGATTTCAGTGAAAGGGTCATTTGAGGTTGATGTTTGGCCCACTATTCAGACTATGACTAGCGATGCAATTTCACGAACAGCATTTGGCAGCAGATATGAGGAAGGAAGAAAGATATTCGAGTTACAGAGAGAACAAGCTGGACATCTGGTCTTGGCTACAAGGTCCATATACATTCCTGGGTCGAGGTAAAGTCATTTTACAACCAAAAACGCATAAAAAGTAAAATTAGTCATTTATGGGTACAATTCAAGTTCACTTGCCCAATATGATAAAACTGCTATAACTAAAATCTACCATTTTGCTATGCATGGATTTTGTAGTGTATGAGTGATTAAAAAAATGATTGGAAACCGTGTTAAAATAATATGTTGGGAGAAAGAAACTTTTCCAAAAGAGCAAATCAAACAAAGACAGAGTTTTTTTTTTTCTTTTTTCCTTCTTTTCTTTTTGGCACTTTGCTAACATAATTACGCTTTCACAGGTTCTTGCCAACTAAAAGGAACAGAAGAATGAAACAAATTGCAAAAGAAGTTGAAGGTTCAATCAGGGAAATTATCAATGCAAGACTAAAGGCACTGAGAGCAGGAGAAGCCATTGATACTGACATGTTAGGTTTATTACTTGCCACTTCTCAAGAAACTGGCGGGGAATCTGGCATGACTACAGGAGAAATCATTGAAGAGTGCAAGCTGTTCTATGTTGCTGGGCAGGAGACCACTGCTGTGCTGCTTGTTTGGACAATGATCTTACTGAGCATGCATCCTGACTGGCAAGAACGTGCAAGAGAAGAGGTTTTGCAACATTTCGGGACTAACATGCCAAACTTTGATGGACTAAATCAGCTAAAGATTGTAAGTCAATTATGTACCAAATTTCATGATAAATCATACAATGAAAAAAACGTTCTAATTCACTTATGCTTAGTTCTAATTTGCCTATAAATTGTCTAATTAGCCTCTTTGATCTGTCACAGGTTACAATGATCTTACATGAGGTTTTAAGGCTATACCCACCAATTTCTAATATAGGTCGAACAGTTGCAGAAGAAACTAAAATAGGAAATCTAACTATCCCTGCTGGACAGCGACTGGCACTACCAGTGATATTATTGCATCATGACCCTGAAATATGGGGCGAGGATGTCAAGGAATTTAAGCCAGAGAGGTTTGCTGATGGAGTCTCAAGTGCAACAAAGGGCCAAATTGTATACTTCCCATTTGGCTGGGGACCTCGTATCTGCATTGGCGCAAACTTTGCTATCTTGGAAGGAAAATTGGCACTAGCTATGATTCTGCAGCGCTTCTCGTTTGAACTTTCGCCATCTTATTCTCATGCCCCTCACCAAGGCATAGCACTTCAACCCCAGTTCGGGGCTCCCTTGATGTTGCACAAGCTGTAGTGTATTTTACTGGTGAGGGTTCCTCCTGATTAATTAGAACTTGGAGGACATGATTCACAATTTCATTCAGATTTGGCATCAGACCATTTTATGTGTGGAACTTAGAAACTCAGTGGAGGTTGAATGTATGACAATAATATCCTAATTTTCTATGCTTCAAGAAATCATAGCCTTGGTATTTCTTTATCGTTTAGTTTATGCACCACAATATATAAACCCCTTTAGAATGAATTCAGGCTTAGTTTGGGAGTTGGAAATTTGGCCAAAAAAGAAAGAAAAGGGAGAGATAAATGCTAGGGGACATACGGTAATGAGTGAAACCATAAGGGGTTACTAGTAATTTATCCTTGATTTACAGCATAATACTTATTAGGGTTATGCGTATAAACTGATATCTAAAGGGTTAAAATTAGTATATGGAGCCTTTGGAAGTAGCATTGTAGGCGTAGGCATCATTCTACCCAATAAAAGGGAGAAACTGTGGCTAATGAAGGCAAAAATAGTCTTTTCAAATGTGTTGATAAGAGACACAGTGGAACTAGCAACGGTTGGGGTATGACTGAATTGGTACAGAGCTTAGACTTTGACGTATATGGAATTTGAAAGTACTGAGACAGTTGTACCAGTGCCAGGGATCATTAGCAGGAAGAAGGATTTATCAGCATTGGTCCATCTGGTGCAACACGTTAACCCTGTCATGGTTGATCACAGAGTTTGAGGCTTTGAGTATGAGAAACAGAAATCAGCCTGCAAACATACCATCTAGAGCAGGTTTTATATCTCAATATTAATAAATCTTTGTTGACTGATATTTTTCCTGCTGTATCTCATGACACATTGGCACAATTGGTCAACAATATACCTTCTTCAGTACAAGTTGCACGTCCTTTGTTTAATGGAGAATAGGGTTCATCTTGTAAAAATGTGATGTAGGGACTAATAACAACCTTCAACATCAAGGAAAATCGTGAGTCATGAGAAATGGACCTTTTCTTTTTTAAGACCAGGAAGTATTAGATGGTTTGCTACTTGGAAGCAAGTGGTCTTTCACATACAAAATAGTTCTTTTAAAAACTAATACAGAAAAGTATTCGCATCGACGAAGTTTACATTGTCATTTGTCAATGACTGGATAATAGATTCTGGAGAATGGTGATGCAGAATTACCTAACCACAAGTAACAGGTAAAGGTATCACTGTTCAGAGTACTCCCACAATGTCTCGCTCATGTACAGTTATTGAAACACGGATACACAGACAAATATAGAGATCAATGAAGGATCACCACTGGAATCATATTCTTGATCCTTACATCCATTGAAGAAGAAGAAGAAGAAATGATGGATCACTTTTTGTTACAGTTGGCATAAGGATTGACAACGAAGTATGGATTGGGAAAAAAAGATAGAGCAATTGCATATGGTTACTCATAAAAATCAATATAGTATGGGTTGACAAGTTCTTCATGCTATAATTTGCGTAGAATCAAGTGAGCACCATGCTGAGGTTGAATTGTAACTATGGTGTAAGGAGCATGAGTATAGGATGGAGAAAGTTCAAAGGAGAAGCGCTGGAGAATCATTGCCATAGCCAATTTTGCTTCAATCATAGCAAAGGTTTGTCCAATACATATTCGAGGTCCCCAACCGAAGGGGAAGAATGAAGCTTGGCCTTTTGTCGCATTTGATACTCCTTCACGAAATCTGTCTGGATTGAACTTTTCTGAATCGTCACCCCATATTTCGACATCATAATGCAGTAAGAGTACTGGCAACATGAGCCGCACCCCAGATGGGAAAGTATATTTTCCTACTTTAGTTTCCTCCTGAACTGTTCGATCAATTACAGGCAGTGGAGTGTATAGTCTTAAAACTTCGTTCAAGATCATTGTCACCTGCAATAAAGATTATAAGGGAAACCATATGTCATCATAAACTATGCAGAAAGGAAGATTACTGAAATTTACTATGTAGTGATGGTCTAAAGCATAACAGAGCTGTGTTACTGTAAAAGACTGAAAAATGTATACAGAACAGAATAAGCTGAATGTTAATGTTCTTTTCTGCAATCAAGAGTTTCATTTGAAGACACGCACTCTTCTAAGTTCTAACAGGTAGGTAACTTCAAACAGATCATGCCAATGGTAACATATGGAAGGAACTCACAACTTTGAGGAGATTGAGGCCATTGAAATTTGGCTCATCTCTCCCAAAAACTTGCAAAACCTCTTCCCTAGCCTGGGATTGCCATTCCTGATGCCTGCTCAGTAAAACCGATGTCCATACAAGCAATGATGAGGTTGTCTCCTGCCTGGCAAAATAGAATAGTTTGCACTCTTCAATGACATCATTGATGCTCAAACCAAAACTTTATCCCCCTTTTGTTCAATCTCTTTAAGATTAGACTCCAGTAGTATGCTCAGTAAGTCGTTATCACTTGATTCCCCAGCTTTCATTGCTTCTAATCTTTCATCAATAACTTCTCTTACTGCAGCTCCAACTTTTTTATGAAGTTCCTTGATCCTTCTGTTCCTCTTAGTTGGCAAAAACCAATAGATAAGAAGCGAAACTGACTGAATCAACTTAGAAATCAGGAATGTCAAAATTTTCAATCTGGAATGATACTCAAACTCCCGCAAGTAGTGTGCTTTTCATGTCCATACAACGTGAAGATGCATTGAGAAATCTAGCTTTACCTTGATCCTGGAAAATAGAATGATTTTACAGCAGTCATAACCTGCTCTGCCTGTTCTTTTTGAAGCTTAAAGATCTTTCTTCCTTCCTCATAATTACCACCAAATGCTGTACGAGAAATTGCATCGCTGGTTAAAGTCTGCCGGTGTGGCCAAACATCCAATTCACAGGTTCCTTCTGGTGAAACACTTTCCTCCCATTTGCTCAACATTTCGGTGGCACATAAATGAAAAGCTGGTAGCATCAGCTATTCATAGGAATGAATGATAAGCCTAGTTAGTGCTATATTTCGAAAAGAAATAATTTCTCAGGTTAATAGTTGTTGGTTTACAATGTCAGCATTGGATGTCTACTTTACAGATGAAATTTGATTTACATTCTTCTTGCGGATAAAATTGCATCAGGAAATAAGGGAAGTATATTGTAAATTGTAGGAGATCATTCAATATTTAAGCATAAGATCAGTTATTCAAAATATAAGATCATCTCCAATGAATTAACACAGATGACTTTGCAGTTGATAAAGAGACGTTAAGTAAAACCTTGAGCTTCTCTAGATGGAAAGCAGGATTGATTATCTTTCGATGTTTTGCCCATTTCTTGCCCTCAGATGCTACTAGACCTTGGATCAGATATTTGCCAAGCGGGTGAAAGTGAGGCATCTGGAAGAGATTATATTTCACCATGATCTCCCATATAGATTCAGAATCTAGGATGATGACTGCAGGATATGGGCCAAGCCATATGAAGGAATTGCCACCTGCAATCGACATGCTAAGCAAATTAAACCAACGAAGTCGACACAGAAAATATATCCACCGGCAGAATTTCTAAAAACAGGAAACCAACGACATAGTGTCGTGAAAAAAATGCTATCGTTTATGATCTTACATCACAAATTCACAATATCAAGAAGTCTCTGCACTAAGAATTCAATAGATTATACCATATTTCTTGATGGTTTTGGTGACCATCGGTATAACTCGGGGAACAAGATCATCAGAAAGATTGATTGGCTGGGAATAAGCTTCTTCAATCATCGAAACCATTTCTTTAAAATCTCCATAGACTGGTGTGTATGAATTCCCGGAAAGACCCTCTGCTCTAAGGCACTTCTCTAGCTTTTTGGGCCTCAACCATAAAGAGTTCAGGGCCCTCCATGCACAAACTATAAGGGCAATTAAACATGGTGAAATTGCTAGCATAAGGAAAGCCTTACGAACCTTAAAAAAAAATTTTAACGTATTAATTTTATCTTTAAATGCCCGCTGGAAAAAATTTTATTGACATTTGATATCTAAAATTATCTTACTTTTTCCTAAACTCCTAAACAACAATCTTTAAAAAAAAAAAATTAGTAGGGAAGGGATGAGATTTACGAAGCAGAAAAGGTAATTAGAACTCAAGATCTCTAAATCTTGAAAATTAAAAATTTTAATCATTAGACTAAGGTCTTTTCGACTTCCAAACAACATTAAAATTTCTTTCATTTTTTTTTATCTTCTCTTCTGTTTTCTTTTTAATAACTCAAGATTTAGGGAAGTTTGATAATTCAGAACTCAGAGCGTAAGTTGAACTAGTTCATGACTAGGGAATTCAAAATGGTTCATACTGCCAATTTAAAAACATTTGATATTTTGTAAAACATCTTAATTACCCTTTGCCCTAGTCACACAATGTCGATCGGAGCAAGAGCTTAGATAGTCATCAAGAAAACTATTCTTGATGGTTTTTCAGTTTTATCTCATTTTTAATAACTTGTAACTATAAAACAAAATTTTATAAGTTTCATATATGATGTTGAAATCGGTATATAAATTATGATATAGACCTTACATTTTTTTTTTTTTTTGATCAAATCAACCGTGCGAATCTATTAGTGTGGTGCCGAAGAAATGGGACCCGTCACTAACCAGACATCCAACGTGGCATGACACATGGCATGGGAACCACCGAAGAATTAGTACCACACATGTTCTTGTTACGTCAAATCAGCAATTCGGTATCACTTTTTCATCCGATGATAAGTATTTAGTTGCCACTAACCATTTGGTCCAGTGGTCATCACCTTAATGGTGATGCTGGAGGTCAGGAGTTCAACCCTTACCTTCCACAAAAATTTGCCACAATATGTGGTTGGTCTTAGATGACCATTCCCCTTGCCCCTTCCCCTAGATTAGACTAGAGTAGGTTATAAGACATCTATCGTTGCGACAAAAAAAAAAAACATAAGTATTTAGTTAATTTAAGTTAAAATTAAATTTTAATAATAAATTAAATTAACTAAACACTTGACATAATTTTAAAAATGGCATTGAATTATCATTGAAAAAGTGACATCGAGGATCTCAATTACTTGTTACATAGCTTGATGACATCAAAACTTACATTAAATTGTGTTTTGTTAGTGCCAAGTCTTGCACATTTTTGGTGCAAGTCTCAGCGTGTACTAACCCAATAAAGAGATACACCAAATATTGCAAAATTT